AAATTTTTCATCATTTCAAGCTTTACGTGACTTGTGGTCCTCACTGCATTCTCTCTTTAGTCATATCCATATTCATATCTATATTTTAAGACTGAAAACTGACAGTTTCAGTTAGATTTTGCCTTCAAAATAATTCTCTCAGGTCCCTTCTAAAATGCAAACCAGCCAACTCTTGCTTTATTGTAATGTCTTGTGAAAGAAGCTCACTTAAAGGCTTTTATCAAACTTCTCCATTAGCTGAAGCATTCAGCAGTGATGAACTTGCTGAGTTGTTCAGCCATCTGCAGGAATAATGCCCTTGATACTGGGGCTGAAAGCGTGTCACTGTTTGCTGTGCATTTGTTCTTCAAGTGAGAGAGATGTTAATTGGAATTTAATGATAGGGAAGTATTGATCATTACTAATTTACCTAACTATGAAATAGAAATCAGTCTAAACACACCCTCTGCCTGTTAGTAATAAGTACTTCTATGCATTTTTGACACAGAACATAAAACCATCACTTCCATTACTTACAAGTTATCTTAGCCATGCTGTAGTGTCATCTGGTAAGTGGCTTGACACTAAATATACTAAGGGGCAAAATTAAGTTTGCCTTCAGTGATGTAAACATTGGCGCAATTACAGTGCATCAGCAAAAGCAACTGCGCTAATACTAAATAAAGGATTGCAGCTTGCAAAGGAAGTGACAGCAGATAGACACAGTGAAGTGAACCACAGGCATGTTGCAGTGAGACATATAAAATAAAATCACAAATGTTTTGGTTTTAACACATTAGTAGCCAGTTCCCTTATGTGCAGTGGTGGCCTTGGTAGCTCAGGCCACTGTATCAAAACTGCATGTGAAACTACATGCTGTGTAACACTGCAGTCAGTGCACCTTTCGCCTGGGGAACAATTGCCGCATTACAGCATGTAGGGATGGGACAAGGGAGAATGGCTTTAAGCTAGAAGAGCATATATGTAGATTAGGTATTAGGAAGAAATTCTTCACTATGAGGGTGCTAAGGCACTGGCACAGGGTGCCCAGAGAAGCTGTGGCTGCCTTATCCCTGGCAGTGTTCAAGGCCAGGTTGGACGGTGCTTGAAGCAACATGATCTAGTGGAAGGTGTCCCTACCCATGGCAGGGGAGCTTTAAGGTCTCTTCTGACCCATGCAGTAACCCAGAGAGCTAGAACTCAATTTCAGGAGTATCTGCTGTTCTACACCCATTTTACTGTATTACTCTTCTGAATGACTGGACCAGTGAACTTAGACCTCAGATAGCAGCAAAAGTTATAACTACTTATGAAAGAGTTAAGAACCACTTTATGTTCTTAGTTTCTTCGAAGGTGGATTACAATTGGAGCACTGTAACTGTAGGTTCACCTGCAGAACAAGATGTTTTTTTTTAATGGTCCATTGACTGCATAGGTCAGGGTAGATAAAAGTCTGACATAGCTTACTAAAAATGGCTTGGGGAGGTGCATGTGTGTAACTGCAGAAAAGGCACTCATCAAAAATATTTGTTTATTGAGCTATGGAAATTACAGACAAAGAGATCCTGTCATGTAAGCATAGATGGAAATGCTGGAGGAGCTTAAAGAGGGAGTTCTAGGCATGTTACCATATTAAGGGCAATTACCTTGAAAAAAGAAATTATAGGGGGAGTGCAACTGTTTAAGAAGGAGGTAACAATTTCTTTCAGTGAATGTTTGTCACAGGAATGCATAGATGCTTGTGAATTGTTTTACATCTCATTGCTTCTATAAAAACCCTTTATATCAAAACCCTTTCTGGAGTGTTTACTACTTTTTTATTCCAACTGCTATTCTGCTTCTGTCTTCTCAGCCTCCCTTCATTTTTGGAGGTTCTTATGTACCACCTAGAAAGGAGAATCTCAGCACTGCACATGATGGAAAATTAATACAAATTGGCAGTGGCTTTTCCAGTCTTTTTGCTCAATACAGTGAGGCACGACACAACAACAACAACAGAATTCTTGGCACGCCAGTGCAAGTTCACACCAGCCTGGCTTTTGCAACCCTCTCGTTTCTCTCTGCCACAACTTTGCCACTGCTATGACACTTGCAGGCCTGCTCGGCCGCGGTGCAGCTGATGCCCTGTCCATGCTCATATTTTTCTTATTGACAGTGAGTGTTCTTGCCAAACGCCAGGGACCATAGTCACATCTGTTTGTCTCCCAAGCTTGTCTGAGGCTGCTTGGGAACACTTTTTATCCAGAGGGCAGCTTTAACTAGGCCTAATACTCTGAAAATCCTCTATTTGTAAATGCATACAATGAGGCGACAAGTTCCTGTTGTCTTTCCTTAGAAATTATTCCGTTTGACACTGCTTGCTCCAGTCCCTGTCACCAGCACATCAAAAGCCAAGTTTTCAGGCAAGGTGGTCTTAACAACTTTTATTTTTTTCCCTAATAAAATGCCTAGCTTCCCTCCAGAGCACTATTTATAAACAATAGCTGGAAGCAAGCTAGGGGTAAGTAGAGAAAAGCCAGGCAAATAGCTTTCTTCCTGTCTGTAATCTGTGTTCTTCTGATTTAATGCTAAGAAACATAATGCTGAACTTAGTCTGATTGAGAGTCAGAGTTCTTCCTAATTTATAATACTCCCATTACAAGCATTTCAAAATGTAGTGTTCAACATCAGAACACTACTTCATTTTGTCTCAGCTGCCAGCTCCAGAGCAGTGATATTTCTTGTCTATTCCTCTTAAAAATCATTTTAAAAAAAGCTTTTTGTTTTCCTGTGATCTACATTGGCAGTGCATATCAAATGCTGAGACCTGGCAAAAGCAAATGCCACTTTAGAATCCCGAGCCAGCTTAATGTTTGATGTTAGTGACCATAAAACAGGTTTGACAAAGCTTAATTTATGCTCTAGTATATTGTTATTTATTTGTGGTGTACAGAGTTTTTGTCGACAACAAAGAAATACCCACTCTCACCTTGGCTGGTGACGGGGTTGTTGTGCTCAGCAAAGGCGAATGATTCATTTATGCTGAAGGAACAAGGCTGCCTTTCAGACGTTCATTGATTTTAAATTAAAAAGTAACTGCTATGTTCTACATGAAGGGTGACAACAATAACAAAGTAGTCCTTACTTAGTGTTATTTGTTGCAACTCCATTTGGTGTGCCTCGAGGAAAAGTGGGGAGACCCCAGTACCATAATCTTACAGATCAATAATCTAGATATCTCAATGTAGTGTAACAGATAATCAATTCTGGGTAAAATAACTCAAACACTGGTGCTGTTACTGCTGTAGCTCAGGTCTTTAGGTTCAATTGCCTGACTTTATTAATTTTTATCTTTCATCCTACTTGTATTCCTGAAGACTTTCTCCCTTTTTCATTTGGAAGAGAAAATGGAGAGTTGTACACTGTTTAACGTAGAATTTACCACACAACTTATTCTGCGTGTTTAATATCAGTATTAAATATCGATCTATTGATAATTAAACATCTCAAACGTTTCTTTGTCTAAGAATTGTTTCCCCATATTGTATTTAAACATTAATATTGTACAGTCAATTATGAACGGGTTTCTTTCTATATTTAGAACTGAAATCTATCACTATGTTAAAACTAGTTCAACTGTGTTCAGTATCTGGATGTTAAAATAGAATGCAATTTCAACATAGAAGAATTCTAAGGAAAATATGTGGTTTAGAACAAAGAGAATTGAGTGAGTGTTGAAATAAGGGTTCATTAAGTGAAGCGAGATGCACTCCTGTGTGAAACTTAAATTTCTTGGAATATTTTATTATTTAAATAAAAGCTCTCTGGTACTTGTTAATGTACTGTAACATTTTAGGCAAAGTATGTTGAGAATTGTACATTGTCATCTTTTTTATCAAGGAATTGTTATCACTCTTACATTATTGAGTAGATCTGAGGTCTCTCAACATTATATGACCATTTGTTATTCATTTAGAAGCAGTACAGCTTTAAAAAGTTTATAAATGCAGTGAAGGATAAGCCATATATCCTCACTGAAACCAGATCCCGTGAGTGACAGAGTGTTACTGTGCTACACTAGACTGTCAGATGCAATTCTCAGCTTGTAATTTTATCAACATTCACTGCACCTCTGTGGTAAGAATCACAGTTCTCTGTAACATTTATGGAGACATATTAAGATTGTGGAGTATAGAAATTACTGCCTTTTCCTTCCTTCTGTTCTAGTTCTTCCCCAAAAAAATGCCAGCTACATATATTCCATTCTTTAAGCACTGTATATTACTTGAAGATAAATAACTCTAACTGTCCTTTAAGTTTATATTCCAAAATTCAGTATTTGGAAATTCCAAATGTACCCTTTTCCATGGTACCTGACTTGTAATTGCTGGCTTTAAGGCAGTAAGATTTGCTTGTTTGTCATCCTCTGCAGCTCCACCAATTTTCCAGTCTCCAAGTGTAAGCTCATGATTCTTTAATGAGTATAACAGATACTGTGCTTCTATGTTATCATTCTCACAACTTGCCAGTGACTTAGAAAAGGACAAATTGCTGTGCTACAGGTTTATTCCATGCACCTTCAAAGAGTTTACTCTTTCATGTTTTATCATTCATTCTTCAACTTATCTTAAAGTGAGAATGGTCTTCATGTAATAAATGATGTTCTGGCAGTGAGGTGTTACCAGCCAACTGATAACCTACCAACAGTATTGTGATCTCTGTAGATAATTAATCTTAGCTATTTTCCTGTTAGGAGCAGCAGGGTTTTTGTTTTATGTTGAGCTAGAAAAATTGCCAGTTTTGAAAATTAAAAAGCATTCCCTTTGTATTATTCATTCCAGCAACAATTTACGATGCTGCATTTAGATACTGAGTGCTTGTCAACAAACATAATTATACTTCGATATAAACAAGATTGGTGGCATGACTGCAGCTTCATCTCAGTTGAGAATGTTTTGATACAGGTTCAGATTATACAAGCTGTGCATTTACGTGGTGGTTTTCTTCCTTTGTTAATAGTTTTCTCCTGTAATTACTTGCAGGCAAACCAGTGTACATTTAGGATCATTGTGCATGGGAGACATCAAACGGAGAAGGAAAGCTGCTCCCCTGCCAGGACCTACAGGTAACCAATTTCCCTGAGACAGAACACAAAACACAAGATGTTAAATCTCTAAATACAAAGCAGTAGGTCAGTGACCCAGAGAAATGCTTGATAAATTCAGTAACTTCCCATGTAACTTCAGGTATGTTCTATCTTTATTTGTTAATAGAGATTAAGAAATAAATAGGGTCTCTTAATTCCCCTTCAGACATTTCTGAGTTCTAGTCCTTTGTAGTCAAGCCTTTAAAAGAATGCATCTTTTTTTTCATATATTGAGAATCATAGACAGTAAAGATTACTGCTTATGTCTGTTGAAGCATTACAAGGTAGAAGACATGAGGTATCTTTTTTTCTGTGAGGAATGCATATGAACACTATATAAATACCCTTCACAATATAGTATGTGAATTCTTGGGCAAGCAATGGAAATGTTAAGGAGATAAAATGAGTGCTGTAGATTAGATAGGGAGCACTTGTAAGCACATTCCTGGAAGATTTTTACAGATGGGAGGTCACTACCACTGGATGCATTTTGCTGATGTCACAGCTGTGAAATGACTTTTTCAATACTTAGGAGTGATTTATAGGACTCTCATCAGTTTGTTGCATTAATTATATATGGTGCATACTGGACGGATTAGATGTGTGTGTGCCTCTGTGAGGCTTTTTATGTATTGCTAATATGGAACTGTGGATTGCTTCTCCTTGTCATATTAATTACTATAGCAACATAGACAACACATACAGTTTTTCAAGTATATTCTAAATAGGTGTCACAGAAGCCTAATATTTGTATTCCAGCTGAATTCACCCTCCTGAAACTTCTTTGTTTCAAACCTCAGTGGCAGCAACAGACCAAGAATAACATTAAAAATGTTATAAAAGCACCTCAGTGGCAGCAGTGTGGAAAAAGAGAATGTGTGGGTCAGTTTCTAAGACTCTGAACATATGTGAAGTGAGAAAGAAAAATACTTAATGGTTGAAGAGAGAATAATATCATTATTTCTACAAGGTGATTTTCACTTCACAACTTTCAAGTACTAGAGGATGTCACTTTGTACTGAGAGGGTATGAAGTATCATGAAATTAATTTTGTTATTCATTTTACCTTGGGCTTTCAACATTAAGTATTTTATTTTACGAGATAGCTCCTCTGCGTAACTTTGCAAAGCCAATATTTTGATACTAAGGCAAACATATTATGTGGTCATTCAATGTTATATATCTACCTCCTCACAATTTTAGAGATTTTTTGCCCCCCAAATGTGCCTTTATGTGGAGAGTGACAGGTAATGGTGGTGCATAACGGTATTGTATGTGGTACCTTGTAACTAATGTGTGAGCTTTTCTTTTTCAAGTTCAAGGTGATCTTTCCAGTTTTGTTCTGGGCAAGAGGATTGTGATTTTTTTTTTCCTATGGTCTTTATATAAGGTTTTTTCTACATTTCATCATTGCATATTTTTAAGCAAATACAAACTTTGGTAAACTTTGAGTAAACTTGTACATACATTTAGGTAACATTTATAAATTACTTACATAAATTAAATAATGTTTATAAATTAGTGTATAAATTACTACAGCTTTCTCAAAAGCTAACCTTCCTACAGATAAATTATTGTTTAGCTGTCACAATCCTTGTTTATTTGTCATTGTCAGTATTTCTTGCCATTTAATGAAAGAAACAGGGTCTTGTTTTAGAATGGAAATCCATTTGGATTAAAATGAAACATCACTATTTGATTATTCTTCTTTCAGTAGTTATAGTTAGCTAACATAAAGGAACAGAAGGACTAAATTTTATGGAGAAGAATTTGTAAACCTTTTTTCTTGAAAGAAAGGCAAAATTATTTACATGAACAAAAGTTGGAAGTGGGAAGAAACCTTCTGCTCATAATTGTCCCTATTTAACATCATAGCAAATCCTGAAAGGCTGTCTGACAATGAGTCTTGAGCACACACAGCTTAAGAAAACATTCACAGTTTTCTTGAGCTGTGTGTGCTACAGATGAGCAAAGTTTCACCCAATATGAGCCAATCTGTTGAAAATAGTATTTTTTAAATTATTTTCTGCATTTTTTTTAATAATTTTCATTGTTAAGCTAGTCCTTATAACACTGTGTGGTGTTGAAAATGGTAGTTTATATGTTCAGCTTCAGCAGTACTGAAAAGAATGACTGGGGGTCCTGATAAAGTATAAAAACCTGTTCTCTGGTTTGGAATCTCACAAGGGTAGCCCCTGCTACTTTCAGACACCTTACAAAGCCGTAGACTTCTGTAGCAAGCAGTGTGATTGGTTAAACATTTATTAATTGTGACAAGAACACCCAATTTATTTCAGTACTCCAGCTTATTTACTGCTCTTTCACCTTAGTATTTTGTATTGAAAAAGTAAAATGAATATTGATAGAGGTAGATATTGATTTCTAAATTTATAGCCTGTTCTCAGTCCCGAGTCAAAGTCATATACCAATAGGTTTGTGTATACTAGTAACAAAGGATGTATGTAGATTTACTTGTTCAGCGATGAGAAAGTACTGAAGTAAGAAAGTTTCAGCAGCACAGAGCATTTTATAGTTTCAAAAATGTCATTTGTAAAGGTGAAGAAATTCTGTGTTCGAATCGGTGTCGAAAATGGGAGATAATTCAAGTGTGGATTGTTAGGAGCTGACAGTACTGCGGCAGGAGTGTCCTATTCTGCCTTTTTTACTAGGATACATTTTCTGTTTTGTGGATACTTGATATAGTCCCATCTGTGCATTACTGGACATAGCTCATTAGTACATCAACTAAAAAAGATACTAGTAAAAATCATTTACTTCCTATGATTTCTCTCAAGAATTAGGTGTTGTGCGTTATAAAAAAAATGTACTTTTTTGCACAGCTTCTTCCATGAAACCAATATAATTCCAGTGATTCTAGTCAGATTTACGACCAGGTCACACTCTCAATGGCTTTGTGCCCTTTCTGACTACCTGAGTGGCAGAGCTGTGTCATATGACACCCTGACGTATGTCATTGAAGCGATACAGTGCCCTGAAGTTTGTATAAAAACCTCTTAGACAAGCTAATACATTATCATGGAAATAGTCCTACCAAAACTGGGTCCTCTACTAATGAATATAATAACAAAACAACAAAGAACTTATATGGAAGAGAAAGGACATTCTCTGCAAAGTATTATTACTACCTGGAATGCATGCTTTGCAAAAGTTTTATGGTCTTCTCAGTCTTACATTACTTAGACTCATAGCAAACCAGTAGATCCCACAAAAGTTTAGATGCTATATTCATACATTGAATATGCATTTAACCCAGTTCCTTTCCTACTAATTCTGTCTTTTTCTGTACAAGCTTTTTTTCTCAGTCAGCTCCTGTTAGATCCCAAAGACCTCAATTTATTTTTGTTTGGTTTTTAATAAGAAACCTCTAGATCTTAAACATTGGGAAAAATCATCAATTCTGTTTCAGATCTGTGGGATGTTAATAACTTAATTTACAGAATGTAGAAATTTTGATTCAGAACAAGAAAAGGGTTAAGTTTCCTTGGTGTGCCTTGTAAATAGCCATTTCTTTCTATAGGAAAACACTCCTTTTTGCTCTGATGTTTGCAGTTTGAAGTAGTGTGGAAAACCTGCAAAAACTAGTTTTGAAAAGAAAAACTGATTTTCTACTTAAAATACAGGGAATGTGCATATAAAATATAAATTATTGCATGTTATGGGGACTTTAATACTTACATTTTGCAAAAGCAAATTTCAGCTGTCATTTTCTTTATCTCGTTTGCATTCTACACTTCAGGCTGGTGCTGATTGAAGTGACCAAGTTAAAAGTCTCATTTTAAAGAATGTGTTTTAATGAAAAATATGACAGATTCTTAATTACAGCAGAAATACTGAGCACTGCAATAATGCTATCATGACTCACTTTAACAAGGTAATCAAAAGGGTACATGTTTTCATTCCTTTTTAAAAATTGCCAACGGAACAGCTAAGCAAACTATTTTGCTGATGCTTAATATGTCAGTGATTAAAAATCAGACCTGAATATCTACAGTACCAAAATGATGATTTGAAAAAAATGGTGATTGCACTGTGGTAACAGAGGTGGCTGAGGCTAAGTTTGTGGTGAAGGTCAACTTAGTGAGATATTTGTAGAAGAAGGGTAGACTTCTGTGTACTTGGATGAACTGGCAATTTATTACCAAAACTCTAGACAAACATATGCCTACATTCTTTTTAGCTTGATTCACTGCGTTTTTTCTTATACTAAATATACAACTCCTTGGGCAGAAATCTCTTTTCAGAGGGTAATATGACATTGGCATGTGTTATGAACGCTTTCCCTTATTGCCTTGCAGTATTTCTTATCCTTAGTCTACCAAAGTCCTTTCTGGCATACACAACATATCTGCTTGACAGTCTGGCCTATGGATACTCTTTTTCCTTGGGTTGGTTTATGCAGCAGATTAAATTTGTTCCATTTTTTTGTTTCTCCTACCATATAGTCTCACTAAATCAGTTCAAAACTTAAAAGGTTGTAGAGTGCCATCTGGTATTGAAACCGCTGTCCCTTCCAAGCAATAGACTTTTCATGTTGAGCTTGAGATCACTGGTTCAAACAAGGCCCCTTACATATAAATAGCAGAGTAATGAGGGACTTCAGAAGAGCCACAGTGCAACAAGATCCAAGCTTATACTGAGAATTTGCTGATCTATTTCAGCCTATATATTGACACTGCCAATGCTAATGTAATAACTTTTATATTGTGAGCCTTCTTTACTGATAGAGAGATTACAGTGAGCATTGTTTGCATAAATAAATAGGCAAGAGGTTATTTAGCCCATAGTAAAAAATATGCAGATGTATTTGCTGAGCTGTAATGGCTTAATCTTCATTTTTAAATGAAGATAATTCAGTATCAGATAATACTCCAACCACAAAAGCACAGAATAGAAGTGGAACTTTTATTATATAATAACAGAAGTGGAACTTCATCTCCAGTATCTCTACAATCCATCCCAAATTGAGTTAGGGTCAGATAGAGCTGCTATAATGTACATAGTTCCAATATCACTTTGATCCTCAATGTTTCTGCTGAAATTAACAATAAACACGCTGTCCGTTTTGAGAGTATTACTGTGATTTAAATCCTTTACCTGGGGTTTCGGTTTAAGGTTGCAAGTCTTAACTTAAAAGTCAGAGAATGCTTATCAGAAGAGAACAATTTTGACAAGTTTTGAGGTGTTTGGAAAGGTCCCCAGTAAGGAAACTACTCCCAAAATGCCATCTGGTGATGGTCTGTCAGCATAGGCAAGGCATAAACCTGACCACCCTTGGATCATTCCAAATCTTCCCCACCAATTTTAGTAGTAGTAAAGACTGGATAGGCATAAAGTTAACTTTACACACAATGTAGTCCATAGAAGGAGAAGAGCACCAACAATCCCATTTCCAAGTAATCTGTGATTCTGGATGACCAGTTGAAGCTAAAGTTCAGAGTCTCAATTTTTCATCAGTATGTGGATTTATGTTTATATATTCAGGAGAGTTGAAAATTGATTTAAATATGTGCTGCAAGAAATAATGCATTTACACATGCTGCAATTATGCAACAATTCCTTGCAATGATAGACTCAACCAGGTTGGAAAAGACCTTTAAGATCATCAAATCCAACCTTTAGTCCCGCACTACCAAGGCCACCACTAACGCATGTCACTAAGGGCTTCATCTGTACAGTGTGTGAACACTTGCAGGGACGGTGACTCCACCACTGCCCTGGGCAGCCTGTTCAAATACCTGAGCATTCCTTTGGGGAAGGAACCGTTCCTTTGGGGAAGGAATTCCCCAAAATATCCAGTCTAAACCTACCCTGGTGGAGTTTGAGGCCATTTCCTCTTGCCCTATCACTTGTTACTTGAGAGAAGAGATCAGCCACTTCCTCAGTCTGTCCTCCTTTCAGGTAGTTGTAGAGATTGATAAGATCCCCCCTGAGCCTTCTCCAGACTGAACAATGGGGCAGTATTGAGGAATGAAACCATGGTAATGCAGACAATAACAAAACCCTGCTGTGGCTGCTGGGTAGATACGGAAGTTCCAAACACCTACTGCAGTTATACCTCTGTCCTCTGCAGTTTTTATCTCTCTGCTAGCTAGAATATAATACAATGCAAGTGGGCTCACCTGAGCTATAGTCATTCTGAAGTTATTTGTCAGGCACAGTCTTAGATAGCCCAGTGTGAGGGATACATAAAAGTGTGGTATAAAAATGCAATCTCAAATATTTAGCTAAATAATATGGCATTTTCATAACATGGGGTTTTTTAGCTATGCAGCCATAGTATACTGAATTTTGAAAAGCACTGATTTTAGAAATCACAGTATGGCTGTCGGCTGTGCTCATGATGCTGACTGCACAATTATCCAAACCACTTTTAACAATACAAGCATCCAGGCAGTGTGATTCCCATTTTGCTAGTTAGAGCTGGCATAAGAAGATGCAGCAATGTGTTACTCTGATTATATTCCTTGTAAAATTGTCTTGTGTCTCAGGATCAGTCCCTACTGTTCTGAGCTCATCTGTCTAGTGAGGAGTCAGAAAAGCAAAAGGAGAGATGGAATATTAAATGCTTTCAGAAAATGAAGGGGAATGTGCACTAGCTTTTAAAATGAAGCAGCATGTATCATTTCTCCTTCCATTGGCTGTTTATCCAACATCAATACAACACTTTAGGAGCCAAATTACTAAACAAGCTGCCAATTAGGCTTGCAGTCAGCTGGATAGATTAGTGGCTAAGAGAGGCAGATACAAGATTTTCATCTCTTGAGCCAATTACGCAAGTGAATTACCATCCACAATGCTCCTTGGAAGATTTGAGGTAGAAAGACTGACTCTGCTGTGATAGACATAAGTGAGATCCAGGGTAGGGGGTAAGGGTTAGCAGGCCATGTATTGCAAAAATTACCCAGGCAAAAAAAGAGATCCTTCTAGGAAAGGATTTAAAGGATTTAAGGCTGCTGGGAGTGATAGAAGAGGAAATAATAGTTGTGGTATGCTCTGCAAAGTCATTGCTGTTCTGCTCACAAGTCTTAATCGTATAAAAGAAAGATGAAAGGGCACAACTGTATTTATGTACAGTGTCATTTTCTCAGAACTGTTTATAAAACACAAAAAAAAACCCAAACAAAAAAAAAACCCACATTTTCTTAGATAGGGGTTAAGAGATTGAACCTAGCAATATTCTGATTTTAGTCACCCCAATATAAACTAAACGTGTTTTATTCTTATTCAGCAATTGGGCCATACAAATATTGTCACAATAATGGCTTATAGAATCATATTTCCTTTATTATTCTGTAATAAATGATAACCTAAATAGTGATATTTATTTTTTTAGAAGCATTCTGCAAATAAAATTTATCTGTCAGATCAAAACTGTGCACAGGCTCATTTGTTTCCTGCTGGAGATGTTGCACACTGGTGTAACATTGTTCCTTAAATATTAAGCAAATTTAAAACCTGAACTTTTGCAAGCTGTTGTATCCAAAAATGATTAAACAGATGTGGAGCCTGCAGCAGCATTAGACCTCTGATCTGATTTTAGCTTACAGATGGAATTAAATTAATTCATGGCAATCACTGTAAAATCAAGGGTATGGCACTGAATGCGAGTGTACTGTTTAACCAGGACATACCTGTCTCAACAGCTGTTAAGAAAAAAATGACATACCTTTATTTTTCATGGAAACATGCCTTTAATGTCGTCATAAATATCATACCAAAAATAAACAAATGCAATGAGGTTTTTTGTTTCCCCCCTTTGCAGTTTTGCCTCTCTGCTCAGAGCTTCCCTCTTCCATGTATGGAAGGTCATCTGTGTAGACCTTGAAGTGTGTCTGTTCGTATGCACAAAGGTTTTAGGATTGTCTTTTTGTTTTTTTCTTACTTTCATTTACCAGTATTGCAAAGAGAAAGAACATAAGTGAGGATGTTTTACAGTGCTGTCTTTTCAAGCAAGTTGCTGTTCCTCAGTGTTTGCTCTTTGCTTGTGTAATGGAAGGCACTTTACATGCAGACTACTCATCTGCAGCATCAAGTTGTTAGGGTTGCTAAAAATATTTTGTCTGTGAGTTCCTCATAACTCCTGGAATCCTACAGAACCTCATAGAGCAGTAAACTTATAAACACGTTTTTCTTGCATGGGTTTTGCATGGTTATGTTTTGTGGGACAGTGCAATGGGTTATTTTGCTCTTGCTCCTGGGTGGGTCAAGGCTGATCACATCCCAGAGACAACACAGCCGCTTTCAGGGCCAGTGTGTTTGGACCATTCTCTCTAACAGGCCCTACTGGCTAGTCCAAGAAGTGCCATAGGCATGGATTAAAAACTGAACTTGAAGATGAATATTGAAAGGACAATTACTGCTTTTAATTAGAAAATAAAAGCCCAAAGCACAGGAATGGGGGTCAGGGGAATAGCACACAGTGTAGTGTGCTTTTTAGCAGCTCTCTCCTGTCAGGCAGTCAACCAGCAATGCAAATTTTGTCTTACAATTGCCGATTGGTGGTGGAATGGAGGAAGAATGCAATACTATTGTCCATATTCCTCTGATTCAAATGAAGTATGTTGCATTACAGATAAATCTTTCAAATGATGATTGAAAATTGCAGGGATATTAAGGACAAATGTAGATATTTATATGAAACCTGACTGTATTGAAAAAGAGTGGTCTGCATATATGAAATATTTTTCAAAATTAAAAGCTATCCATGTTCACTTCATTTGCAAATTAAGTAGTAAGAGAAGGAGTAAGTAGTCAATTAGTAATATAGGCAAGTTGGGTGGCTTTTTGATTTTGCCTTATTCTTGCTGAAATACAAAGCCTCCAAACACATCAGCCTTTGGACATTGTATGTTGTCTGACTTTTCTCAAAAGTGGGTTGTGAAGCCAAGTTTATGGTGGTTCTGCTCCTTTTCTGTTTTTTAATCTGGTGATGATTAAGAACAAAACTCTTCAGGAGAGCTTTCAGTTTTCTAACAGGAGATAAAAAAGTATGTACAGTGGAGGGGAAAATAGTATACTTCTAGAAGTAATTATATGTCTTTAAAAACAAGAGTATTCCAATTATCCTGTCAGTCACAGAAAAAAACCTGCTGAGCTACTTCAAAAAAATATCAAAACTAGAAACATCAGTTTATTAAATAACACAGATTAATCTTTCATTTATCCTTTTGTGAGGTTGCTCTGGCTGTCTTGAGAATTCAAATCCATATAGAAAGGTACATCTGTTACAGGAAAAGGTCTGTGGGTCTTTCCTCTAAATAGACTAACAAAAAAGCTGTTTAAGTTGTCTCAGGCTATGCCTTGCATATCATTCCAGCAGCATGGCTGTCTATGCCTAAGCAGCATTACAAATGGCTTAATTTTTCCAGTTCTTAGATGCCACGAAATGTAACCTTGCTCTTTCCTGCTTGGCAGCTGTTGGATCATTTTTCCCTTTCAAGTTTCTCCCTTAATTATTCCAAGGATGTATATTGGAACGACGTTCCATTTCTTACCATCACGTGTTGTAAAAAGTGGACCAAAACACACTTTCAGGATTTTACCTGGGAGGTTTACCAGAACCTTAGTTGAATAGTGACCTTTTTTCTTTCCCTTCTTTGACCTAGAAAGTATAACTAAGAAGGTTGCAAAGCCTGTGTTGTGTATGCCAGTCAGTGTCAGGGACTCGTGTGTATGAAAATTGCATCTGCCTGTGGGGGCCTGAAAAGAAAGGAAGTTTGGACATTGAATTTTGTGCTGGTCAGTTCAAGAGGAACCCTCTTGGGGATTGGAAGCTGCTGACTTAAAAGCTTTTATTGTAAGCACAGCTTCAAACCAGTATTAAAGGATGCCTCCTCTCAGTCCGTTTCCCTTTTACTTTGACTCAGGAACTAAGACACTAGAAAGCTATCTGCCTTTTATGTAGCCAGTACTGAGTATGAACAGATCTATAGTGGATAATTCTGGACTGTGCTTACTGATAATACTGTAAATTCATCATCACAATCATTGCAAGGTTTTTAACATGCGCCTCTCAATTTGAACTTCTGTCTGAATGTGGTTTTTTCTCTGTGTGTTCTGAGGCTTTTCGGAAGTGCATATTCAACTTTTCTTGTGTTCTTTAGTGAGTTATTACAATTATGACCCAGCTTGTCAGTGGCAAAGTCTTGATTGAAGACATTGTAGTCCCCAAAACCACAAAACCGTAGTCTCCTCCTACCATATTTTTCAGAAAGTAGCAGGCCAGAATAAATAGGTAGAGAGTTGAACAGATATAATTTGAAGGAGGGCACATGGTGGGATTTTGTTCTGTTATTGGGGGTGGAAGATGTTTAGCAAAGCTGAAAACAAAATCCAGCTACCCATGTGCAACTGCTTCTTAGTTCAAAAGCTGCAGCCCTTTTTAAAATAGTTAGTATGGTGTCATTTGATAAGTTTTCATGCAGATTCTGGAAATAAATGTCATCTCTATCTCTTATGTAAGGCAGTTGTATATGGGAAGGCTTATTCAGGCATCGTCTCCATATTCTAGCTCAAGGAATTTTGTTGATGAAGGGAAAAAAAAAATGCTTTGTCGCTTAATTTTTATGATGTATTCATGGAAAAAAATAAAATCTGTTATTAAAAAATTAATCTTTTCTATCAGTACCTGCAATCATGATGCTGTTTTCTGCTGTACATGTGGAGCTTTTCTCAGAGATCTCAGTAGTATGCGGGGAAAAGCATAAACAGCACTTAGTGGCATTGAAAATACCAAAAGCAAACTTCCATGTGTCAGATCTCTCTTACAACATTCAGTAAAAGAGAAACTGAGTGAAAATATAGCTGAGTTTCAGAATAGTAGACCACTTACTACTAATAATGGAAAGATGGTTGTGTTACTGTGATGTGCCTCAGCTTAGTAACTATATAGGACAAGAAATACAGGTAATCTTGCAGATGTATTGGTAGACTTGTGCAGGTGATGGATGGTCTTAGATGTAAAATCCACTGTGTTGGAATACGAAAGATCTGTGACACTATCTGTCATTCTTGAAAACTGAATGAGTCTTTAAAAACATTAAAAATAAAGCAAAGTGTGAGACTGTATTATTTAGAATCATATGCAACCAGGAGGTCAACATGTGCAAAGACAGCCTGTTCTAGCAACCTGTTAGATGAATTAGGAGAATAAAGAAGGTTTAAAGCTTTAAGGGAGATTATCCTGCTCTTCTCCACATGGCAGGCAGTGCTGATTAATGCTGTGTGTTTCTTTAATCTCAGGGTTTGTAGGTGAAAACACCCAACCAATCCCAGAAAACAACATTGGGAACAGAATGCTTCAGAGCATGGGCTGGACCCCTGGTACGGGCCTTGGACCAGACGGCAAAGGGATCGCAGAACCAATACGAGCTATCCAAAGACCAAAAGGACTCGGACTTGGATTTAGCTGACAGAAATGTACTCTGGCTGCCTGATAAAAATAAGGCTAAACATTAATTTTAAAAGACACACACAATAAAAAAGAAAAAGTAAACTTACATCATTTGTTGTGATCAGCAAATCCTGTTATTCTTCTCTCAAAGATCACTGAAGTCAATTGCTTCACATTAGCTACACCAGCTGCAAGGTACAGCCACAGTGACAGACCCGGCATTCAAGTCTTAACTTTATAATGGTGCTAAAATGTACAAAAATTTCTACTTTTTTAGTTTCTGTTGTCTTAAAGTTTGTATTCAGCATAAAATTCCATATATTTACTTCTTTTCCTAACAGCTTCTGGCACAGCAGGTTTTAGTATATAAGCAAATTTACTTCTTTCTGTAAGTATAATTTCAGCTCAAGAACCTTGATCAGATTCATTGGGGAAAATAGAACTTTTTACAGCTCTTGTGTTTCCCCCCTTTTCAGGCATAGTTTCCAAACCTGGTATTTCTAGTGTTTAACAGTATTTGAGGATAAGCTGTCATTTTATACACATTTCCCACTGGAAGGCGATATGGTATGCAGTTTTTGCATAAGAGCACGAAAAATGGCTTTGTTGTCATAGGAATGCCATTCCAACACTATTATCTGGCAATGTATCACTGTCTTCCACATTGAAGCTCAAAAGTAAAGCTTTTATACTTGTTTTTACATTCACAGGATTATCTTTTTTCATCAAATATTGTAGAAAGTTAAAGTTTATTCTGACTTTGGATTTCACTTTATATTAATATCCTCAGTGTTCTCACATTTAGGAGCAGTTTGAACTATGAACCAGGAAACTGTATTTTATTGATGACCGTCTTTCAGTGTTTATATTTGGGGGGATTGCATATTTTGAACAATGTGGTGTTCAACATCATGTTATCACCTGGTTTGTGATCAGGCTGGTGCCAGTGAGCACCACTCTAAGGATCATGAACAGAAAAAGGTCAAGGAGAAGCAGGATTAGGGTGGAGGAAAGGAAGGAAAAGGATATTTTCATGGCATCTCACAAATATAAGCTAGCAGTTTAAAATCAGGAAGGATCATTAAGTGTTTTAATCACTATCCTAATGTGTCTAATGTCAGCAAAAGCAATTTCATTAAGCTCCTAGGGTACTTACTGGTCTGCCATATAAAACAAATTCCACTTTAAAATTAAATGATAGTGCTGAAGGAAACTGTTGTTCAGATGGTCTAAGGAGAAAATCCTGCCCCTGTCCCTGCCCACCCCTGTAGCAGCTGGCAGTATTTATCCTGGCTGCAGAGGGAACAGGATTTGAGTGTCCAGTCTTTTCTTCTTCAAGAGGGGGGTTTCTCCCTCCCTCTGCTTCCAAACAGAAGAGAAAAATACCTACTTCCAGATGCTTGCAAAGATATTCCCTTGAAATAAACAGAGCACAGCTTACTTCATGTGACTGTGAAATATGGTGATGAATTTTAAGAAGAGCTTTTACTACTTTTTGTTTTCTCTCAACTTCACCCATTTTCCCAGAAAAATAATACTAGGGAAAAAAAATATCACTGTTATAGCCTTGAGTTTGCTTAAAAGAAATGTTCATGTTTTCCAGTGTGCGTGCTGTCAGGTTGGGTACGTTGTTTCACCATACACATAATGTAGACTAAAATGTTAGTACCTGATGCTGTTTTTAGTGATAGCTGAATGCAACTCTTCTCTGAGTTTCAGGAGAACTATTTATTTATTGCTGTTTAAATACTTGATATAATTGTGTGGTTTTGCTTTTGGAAATGATAAGACATTTTAAACGCACTTGGGATTTATAATCAACACATATACTTTTTATTGGAAGGTTTTAAGGCATAGCATCGTGCGAGTTTGCCACTTAAACTAAGTTAAATACATTGCACATTCAAACAACTTCAGGGCCACATCCTGCAGAGGGCTAAGAGCCTGGAATTCTGCAGCTAGTAAAGGTACCGACTTGTGTGTTATTTCCAGTAATGAATTGATGTTGCGTGCTCCTGTACTTTCAGTGCAATGTGCTACTGAGAGCAAGTTAGTTCTAAAGACCTCTTTGTATTGTACACCACAATCAAAAATTCCTTGAAACAACTTTCAACATGTGAATGGTGAAAGTAAATCTTTAAGTTCTGGTTGATTTTGCTCTATTTGCAAGGTAAAACCTCTGTTAGGATTCCATTGTTTTGCTTTGGTTGCAACACCTGCATGTCTTGGGCTGGAAATTCTAAGTGTGGCATATATAACACTTGTTTGAGGTATTTCTGTGGAATTTACTGTAGCAGTAGTTCCTCAAGAAATGGGTCTGTGACTCAGAAAGTACGTGAAAAAAAAAATAATCCTGTTTTAAAAAGATAAGAGGGAACTAATGGATACATGTTGAAAAAATACCTCTTTAGCCTATTCAGCATTTTATTCACCCATTCATACACACACAGTGAAGTGGCCAACATAGGAAACAGCTGTAATGGAAGAAGTATTTAGTCTGACTGGAAATCTTACAACTTTTTGTTTTAGATCAGTCTATTAGTGAGAAACTGTTAGACGTCTCATAGATGCCACAGCTGACTGTCAACTTCATTCATTTTCAGCTACAGAACAAAGTGATTTATTAAAATACTTTAATGTAGTGCTTTAAAATATTTTTTTTGTTTCAGTAAAATTCCCATTCTGACTCAAACTCTCATTTCGTTTCTGTTTTCTCCATATCTCATAGTAGTGGTTTTAAAGATATTCTGGTAGTGTGATTTTTCAGAGTTAAAAATAGTATTAAGAAACAAAACAAAAATGAACTGCACTTTTTCCTTTGTTAAGCCATTACATTGTTAGTCAGCTTTGCAACATGTCAAAGTACTTGGACTTATTGGAGGGATTCTTTGGGTCTTTCTCATACCTAACCTGCAATCAAACTATGATACCTGCTATAATGTTGGCTCACATTACTTCAAAATACATATAGAAGTATTTTCAGATAATCATTCGTAATGGCTGTGACACTGAAGGGGGTTTTGCCTGCATAAAGAAGTATGGGATCTTCTTGTATCTAAAAGGTATCATCCATCTTGCCAGATTCTTTCCGTTTAGGTGTTTGATTAATCAGTAGCTCAGCTGTTACCATAGTATTCTTCTGCAGAATATTTAGTGAAGAGACATTATGTATTATCAGCATTACATTTTGCTACGTGTTCCATGGTGACTCAAAGTTCTGTGAATTGAGCCATTAACTGTTAATAAAAGAAACCCATGAGCACACTTATTTTTAAATAAGTATTTGTCCAAGTCAGAGAAGCATTGTCTCTATGCTCATTTGAGCAAGTTTGTCCCTGCATTTGTCTTTCTGCAATTAGGTCAATAATGGGTGTAGATGGCAGTAAATAGCTAAATAATATGTATAGAATGCTTTGCTTTACCAAACACAAATGCAAGATGAAATAAAACAAATAGACTCTGTTCTTGAGTTTTGTATGTTCTTTTCTTTAAACTGCACTTTTCGGTAGTGTTATTGCACAACCAAGTACAAAAACATGTTGTTTCTGAAATAGAATTAAGGTTGGAGGTATCTTGTACCAAGCAGATGCATATTATGCTAAAGCTACTATACTCTTATATGTACCTTTTTACTAGTACTTCTTTCTAGGTGATTATTATCCAGCTGAAAAGGTTACACCACGCCATGAGGAAGTGCCTCATTTAAGACGTTTGCAGTACTTTTGTTACCATATTTGGCTAAGACGTTTAAATACAAGTTTTCATGACTCTTTAAGAATATGTATACTCAGACAACTGTGACTGGACCTTGTGCTTTTTGTCAAGCAGTTCTCCAAAATTATTCCTCCAAGGATAACTTGCACAACCTTTTACTTTACCTTTCCCCATGCTCCCAGGGCAGTTTCAGTAAAGACCTATCAGAAATGGGCATCCCTTCCCTCTTACTCTAAAATCAAGAGACATTTTAATCAGACCTTGACACCTAGCAGATTTTTTCAGGAGCAGTGGCATAGTTAGCACACAGAAACTGCATAACCAAGTTGCTCACATTGGAGTCCCATACCGAAGAACAGTATGTATGTTCAGTCTGAAAGAACATAGTCCAGATTTGACTCTTTATTGACCTGTAGTCCAGCTGTAAAGCTCATGTAAAATGCTAAAGGAGAAAATGGCATTTTTAAATTTTGCTTTGAATTATCCCTGGAAAAGGTTTTGTTGTGGTCAAGTGGGTTCATTTTACAGGTACAGGTTTAAGATAAGGATTTTCCTCGTTTTTTTCAATGACCTCTATACTGGAGAAAGTCTTGAGGAAGTGCAGCAGTTTCAGCATGGATGTTCTGCTTGCCTCAAGTGAGAGGTTTTGCTAAAAAGAACTATATAAAATCTTTACCAACATAGATTGATACAAGCTATATCTACTATCTGCTAAGCTATATGAGAGCTTGTTCAGTAATTCTGTCAACAATCTTTTTAATGTAAGTGTGCTTTAAGTTATTGTGAAAAACTACAAAAGCTTCATGATTGACTGGTAGTAGGTAAATCTAATGGAAAGCACAGAATCATTAGGGTTGGAAGGGACCTCTGTAGATCATCCAGTCCAACCCCCTGCCAAGGCAGGGTCACCTAGAGCAGGTTACACAAGAACATTTCCATGCTGGGTTTGGAATGTCTTCAGAGAAGAAGACTCCACAACCCCTCCGGGTAGCCTGTCCCAGTGCGCTGCCACCCTCAACATAAAGAAGTTCTTCCTCAAGGTGAGGTGAAACTTGTGTTTTAGCTTATGACCATTGCTCCTCATCCTGTCGCTGAGCACCACTGAGAAGAGTCTGGCACCAACCTCCTGGCACCACCTTTGAGATATTGACCTACATTGATGAAATCCCCTCTCAGTCTGTTCTTCTCTAGACTAAACAGGCTCAGGTCTAGCAGTCTCTCCTCGTAAGATGCTCCAGACCTTTGTTTGGGCTTTCTACGATTCTCTTCTCCTGTCGTTACAACAAAACAGATATTGGAGGTTGACTCAACAGATATGTTGAGTGTGATCATGTATTGTTTGTATTTGAATATTCAGTCTTTA